CCTGCCTTTCTCCTTTTTCCTTTCCCCACCCTTTCTCCTTTCCCTTTCCTTCTCTTCCTCTTCTTTGCCTTTTTTGTATCTTCTATTTGAAGTGGCTCGGGCCTGGAAGACCAGTGCCCTCCCCTTCCCTTTCCATCTTTCCTTCCTTCTCTTTACCTTTACCTTTCTTTCCTTTACCTCCTTCCCCCTTCTCCCTTCTCAGATTGTCCCTTCCCTTCTGCTTCTTTCCTCCTGCCTTCCCCCTTCCCCCTTTCCCCACCCTTTCTTCTTTTCCTTCCCTTCTCTTCCTTTTCTTTGCCTTTTTTTGTATCTTCTATTTGATGGGGTTCGGGCCTGGAAGACCAGGGCCTTCCCCTTCCGTTTCCACCTTTCCTTCCTTCTCTTTACCTTTACCTTCCTTTCCTTTACCTCCTTTCCCCTTCTCAGATTCTCAGATTCTCCCTTCCCTTCTGCTTCTTTCCCCCTGCCTTCCTATTTCACACTTTCCCCACCCCTTCTCCTTTGCTTTCCCTTCTCTTCCTCTTCTTTGCCTTTTTGTGTATCTTCAATTAGAAGATTGGCAAAAGCAATTTCTTCTACAATAGATGTGCTATATTTTCCTTTTGTTCCAGTTCACTATAACACAAAGCCTTGGTAGTCCTTGTGAACGGGAAATCCTGTCACAGCAACCTTCTCTGCCGCTGTCAGCCAACGGTCCCGGTCTGTGAGCATGATTCGCTTTGTTGAATCTGTTGTAAAGGCTGGGAGCTTGGAAGGACTCCCAGACATATTCATGAAGACAGGGTCCTGACCCACACATACTCCTCGTATCTCGCGCTCATGCCTTGGCAGGCTGTCTTGTCCAAGACTTTGAAGGTATTGCTGGTAATTTTTCTGCTCGATGTCGGAGAGAAGAGGTGTCCAGTCAGAGAGGTTGACGCTGTGGACTTCATGTGCGGCAACTGTGGAATTTGCATTCCTATTGGCTATCATCTCTCCTCGAAAGTCGCGTTCGTTCTCCTCATATGTCATCCACGCAGCATCGTATACACTAACCGGCTCGATGAGGCTTTGAACGTGCTCCACCAAGGATGCATAGATTGCAGCTGGATCATTCACCACCTCCAGGTACTTCTCCAGAATGAAGATATCATACCTGATGTTGAAAGAGGACCCCTCTGGAAATAGTTCAGATAGAAAAAATAGTACCTTCTATTTGATAAAGTCCTTTTGTGGAACGACAAACACTTTATCTTGAACAATTCTGAAAATAGTAGAGATGCAACCTCTTCCGGCTGTTGGCGTGCATGCCACAATCCGCTCCAGTGGTTTTGATGCTGCCCACATGTTTGTAATCGAAGTGGGAAAGCTTCGTGGCAAGGTACTCTGAGGAGAATCCGCGTACGTTTTCATGCACTAACAATGGTGTTTGACTTCTTCCATGGTGAATGGCCCAAATCAACATCAACTTGTTGTACGGTGATTCTTCTTTCAAAAGTGCACCACCCTCCTTTTTTCCAAGAGTTGAGTACCCTAAGCACATCGAGCCACTGATGTCCATCATGACGCGGGGAAGTTGGCACCTTTCAGGAACATACACCCTTTTCAACACCTTGTTCAACAAATAGACATTGCTATACAACTGGTAGTATTGTTTCTTCTATTTGGTGTGTTTGTGTACGTTTGTGTGGAGCAATCTGCAAAATGGATTCAACAAATTGGTTTTGTTTCTTCTATTTGATTTTGCTCAAGCCTGAGGTGGTGTGATGCGCAATGCTGGTGATTGCATGAAAACTTCTTGTCCAAGAGGAAAGTCCAAAGGTCCTCCGATGGCTTCTCGCACGAATCCTCCAGAATCTTTAGCTTCTTTCTGTTTGCATCATCAAGAAGTCTGAGTATGTCCTGGTGCTGACACACATGGTCTTCAAGGCATTCTCTACTGGCCAACCTGGCCTTGTTTGCTATCTCAAATTGATAGCTCTGGCTGAATGGGACCACTGTCTTCCCGGTCTGCTTGGCCAAGGCACTAGCTATCATGCTCAAGGCCATCTCTGCACAGCCAAAACCGGAAAACCATGAGGACCATGGCACTCGATGCCATTTCTTCAGCCATTCTACATGGCCCTGCTCATCAACCCATTCGACTGACTTTTGGGCCCATGTAAAGGCAGCCACTAGCCGAGCAGGGGGACCCATGGCAGCGCTGCCAAACGTCGTCCAAACTAAAGAATAATTCTACTCAGCATGCAGCCCCTGTCTCAGTCTTTGCCATGTCCTTTACACTGAACAGGCAGACTCATATCTTTGTTTGGTCTGTAGTTTGTCCTGTTTTGACAAGATGCCAGATCATGCGTGCTTGGGCCAGGATTCCGCCAAAAAGAAATTGCCCAGAAACACGCACAAAACACATCAAATAGAAGACCATTTCAAATAGAAGATCAGCAGTTTTCACACAGTTCAAATAGAATTAATACAACATATGTCATTTGCCAGAGTTCCTCCTTTACTCTAGTTTGTTCTTATTTTGACCTCCAGAATTATTTGATCTTCTATTTGAAAATGTTTTGGGCAGCCTTCCAGATTCATTTCAAATAGAATATGGGTACTCCGGAATATTCCTGAATTTCTTCTATAATAGAGGTCTTGATTATAAAGTAAAGTACGATCTTTAAAAGTAAAGTACGTTCGTGTTGAACAAGTTTAACAAACACTTTGGTTCATAGGGTGTAATTCTAAGATATGACACTCAGCTGGTCCATGCCCAGGCTTGGAGAACATTTCCAATAATTTTCGCTTAATGAAACATACTGATTTAAGATGATCACTTGAACATACATGATTGTAGCGGAAGCTGAGGAAAATTAAGGTGTTGCTGCGTTGCTGAAGAAAAATTGAGGAAAATACCGGCAGCCACTAGAAATTAGAGAGCATTAAACTTGAGTTTTGCCATGTATAGCAACCCTCCTATATAGACATGGTTGATGACGTATGATGTTCATTTGGCTCAAGTGGTAAAAGGTGCGCCCGCAGCCGCTGCCCTGTCGCGGTCACGGCGCTTTCAACTTGTGTGGACTGTTTGGTTGTTGTTGGGTTGGTTTCCACTTCAAGTGGTTATCAGCCGTATCGACTTGTTTGATTGTTGTTCTTGGCTTTTGGGTGTTACTAGGAACAACATACACTCGTACACCTCGACCTCGGTGCATGGACGCTGATCCCCCTCGGCATAGAGGGATCCGATCGGGGGCCGCTGCGAAACGTCGTCGCACGGCCTACGCACGGAATATTGCAGAAGAGATTGGTGTTCCAATTGCTGGGGCGCCTATCATTCACACAGGTGGACAATCGAGGCCGCTCTATACTCTGCGTATCTGGGACAACGAGGGCTCCGAGTCTGACCAAGGAACTGCTGAGGGCTCTGGACCTGCGGTGGGCTTGCCAAAGGCCAGGCCCTTGAGTGTGGTGACGGCGGAGGTTGCGAGGGAGTCCGTCGAGTGGAGGGCGTTGAGGGTCTTGAAGGGCGAAGGGCATTGGCAGCATCTCGATCTTCAGACGTTGTTCATCCGTGTTTTGCTTCCGTGCCAGCCAGCGCTCCGCTCCCGCCACCTCCAGCTTCGGCTGAGCCACTCAGGACTCCACCACCACCTCTTCCGCCGCCATCGAGGGCCCCTGCATCAGCTTCGGCTACTTCGAGTCCGGCGCCAACATCGATAGCTGCGCCTCCGAAAGCCAAGGTAGTGATCAGGCCTGCTGCGGCTAAGTTTTGGCCAGAAGCAAAGCCGGCATCCGTGGTACCGAAGTTGTTGCCTCGACCAAAGGGTACATTGATTGCAAAGCCTATTCCAGAGGTTATCGCAAAGAGTTCATTGGCAGCAAAGCCCAGTGCAGAAATGATGGTTCCTACAAGGCGTGTGGTCTGACCAAGGCTGCATCATTGTTGAGTGAGAGTGCTCCTGATGTGCCAGTTGACTCCAGAGTTGGGCACACTTGTTGACAGCAGTTCATCGTTGTTGACTGAGCCTCGAAAGTTGGCCGCGTTGCCTTCGAGCAATTCTGAGCCGCCAGCACAAGATCCTCCGGTGTTGCCCTATAACCTCACCCCGAAAGGTGGGGCGGCTTCATCAAGCTCTAGAGGACCGGAGCCAGCATCAGGTTTCGCCGGACCGGAACCAGGCCCTGACACTGTGGTGATTGAGGACAAGAGCTTTGCGGCACGCTCTCCAGAAAAAACCCAACATGAGCATCTCTGCGGCGGTCAGCGAACGTGCATCCGGTGAGCCCGGCACAGGGATTCGCGTGGCGCCCATACAATGCTTCAGCACGCTGGCGGGCAATCCAGCCATGTGCCTGACCTGCTGGATCTCGCCCAGGGTGTGGCTCACACAGTCCCAGACTTCGACCTTCAAGGCACTCCATTGCCGGAAGTCGTCCAGCGTAGTCCATGCTGCCATCTCCGTCTCGGTGGGCAGCAGGTTCATGATGTGCTAGCTCGTGAGTGCAGCGAAGGCCGTAGGGGCCAGAACCGGCCCAAGGCCTGGGCTTCCGGGTGCAGGTCGCTGGACCGCCGGCGGCGGGGGCAAACTGAACAACCAGGTGGCAAAGGATCCCAGGAAGAAAAATGCCACCAAAAGGCATTCTAGATACATGTTCTTCTCTGGCCTCTTGAAGACAAAATGGCTACGGCAAGAAAGCAATCGATCGAGAACGAACGGACCACCAAGCAGACTTCATGTGCTATTCTTTTTCTTACGCAAATTCTTTGCTCCATCAAAAGTTCTGTCCTTGGTGCCAAGTGCAGATTGGATGTATGCCCGGATGCAACCTGAAGTTGAACCAGTGTTCCCTTCGATCATCGAAAGGGCGATCACAGTGTTCAACGGCAATTGAACTCGGAGCGGATGCAGCAAGGTCTTGAAAGATGACACTAAAGTCCCCCTTGATCCTTGACCGCATCACCTCGGAAAACGATTCGAGCCTTGATCTTCCAGTCAGACAATGTCTCTGCTTTCTCAATGGCGTAGGCCGACGAACAAGACCAATCGCAAAACTGATTCGGAGCAACTTGGGCACGAGGTTTCCGCACTTGAAAGCTAACTGGCCTGACCCCCAAAATTCAGTCACGATCTCTGGATTGTCGTCGTAGATGAAAGCAATGCCTGACGAAAAAGCCTGACAAGCTGCGAGCTTGCCTGCTGCTCCACAACGCTGCTCGGTGATGAGGATGTAAAGAATGGGCAAATTGGACAACTTTAAACTTCGTAAGGTACAAAAGATTCTCCGAATTGGCTTGGGATCGCTCAATGCGCGAACAAATGATGATCTCTGCGTTGCCGGCTTCTCCGCGGAGGAAATTCAAGGACTCAATGTGACGAGGTGGAGTCCCGTCACTTGTTGGTCTCTCTGCGAAGTGCCTTGAATGTCGATCCGTATCAAGAACTTGGCGCCAGTCGTACACGAGAAGATGCTGCTTCAACCGTGCAAATGTGCTCTTATCAACTGATCAAATGGAGCAATCTGAACGCGTCCACGCGGTTCAACTTCAAAGCTGTTGGACACACAGACATGGACACCCTGACCGATACGGTCACACCTCCGGCAGAGGCAGGGCCTGCGACGCCAGTCACAGCAGGCAAAAGATTCAAGAGTGCCGCGATCATCGATCAGCTCGACGAGACGGAGGTGGAGCCTTTGACCAGGACGGAGCTGGACCAGGCGTATGCATGCCACATCGAAGTCACGGGTGCGGAACCCACACACGAGGCCGAGCCTACGGCCGAACAGCTGGCCGCTTTGAAGGACAAGATAGTGAAGAGGGGCGAAGCTCCCTACGCAGACTTCAGCATCTTCACCCGACGGAAGCTTCAAGGCCATGGAAATCCCTGGACCGTCATCGTTCCAGGCATGGACAGCATGCTGGAGAGTGTTCAAAGCGGCTCTCTACATGATTCGCCGCCCGAGCTCCGGGGGTCAGCCGGAGAAGATGGTGGTCACAGCTGCGGTCATGGAAGAATACTTCGACCACATCGCGAAGCTCAACGAAGAATTCCCAGAGGCTTGGCACCTCATCATGCAGGCCGAGGACCGATGCCGTGGAGAGGTCTTCGAGAGGTACCGTCGCCAGCTCTGGGGAGGCAAGAGCATGTCGAATCGCAGTGCCGAGGATGTCAATGTCTCCGAGGATGCTCGTGCTGCGCTGGCTGGTGTGGCGGGCAGTATGGGGGCTTTGCATCGAGATCCCAAACGCCGCCGAAGGGAGAGCAAGACCAAGGACAGCCCGCCGGGCAAGGAGACGAAGCCAGACACTGGTGCAGACAAAGCAGAGCCCCACTCGAAGAACGAGCACCCAAAGAAGTGGGGCACACACTACATCACAGACTACGACGGCAACGAGATCTGCTTCAAGTTTGCAAAAGGCAAGGCAGGGGACTGCGGAGAACCATGCAGTCAGGGCAGGGTGCACCGATGTCGGCATTGCTTGGGGTCGCACGTGAACGACCAGTGTCCGGTGCACGTCAAAAGGAACCCAAAGGGCGCCGGCAAGAAGAAGTCCCAGAAGTGACCCAAAGAAGAGGTGAAGCTGACACGGCAACAGGTCGAACCGGTAAGATCCGCAGAGCAGCCGAGGCCAGTTCCATGCCAAGAGGCTCAAGCCGCAGCTTCGGCCGAACAAGCACCCTGCCCAGATGTCAGGCACGACCCTGGCAGGCAGCAGTCAGTCAAGGGCGAGTCGAAGTTCAAGTTCCTCGAACTCTATGCGGGCTTCAAGGGACTTTCGATGGCCATGGCCGATGTGGTCGGCGAGAGCGTGGAAGTATTGAAGCCCTTGGAGCTCTACGACGGGTGGGATGTGCTCACACCCGAAGGTCTCGAAGAGGCCCGAAAGGCGGCAAGAGAGGCAGATCACCTTCATGTGGCCATCCCTTGCAGAAGCTACACAAGAGCCAGGAGGGTGGACGCTCACGGAGCTGTGGCCACAGTGCGCTCAGACGAGCGCCCAGAAGGCTGGGGGCACCCGGTCGCAGAGAAAGGGAATCGGCATCTCGAGGCAATCGAGATCATACTCATGGAGGCAGCTCGCTCAGGCTGCACCATCTCCATCGAGAACCCATGGAATTCTTTCCTGTGGGAAACAGCGAAGATGAAGAAACTGGCAAAGCGGCTTCACCTTGTCCCAGTGTACCTCGAGCAGTGTGCCTACGGGGGAATGTCAAGGAAACCAACGAGGATCCTCACCGATGCGGAGTGGATGCAGACAGTTCAGCTCACCTGCAGCCAGGTCCGGCCGCATTGCCACAGCAAACTCGAGGGAAAGGTGTGGGACCCTGTCACACAGAGCAAGGTCTGGAAAACTTCCAAGGCCGCGGAGTACCCGTCGGGGTTGTGCAGAGCATGGGCCATGGCCTTGAAGGACTACCTGCAGGCGAAGCCACTCATCCTGCAGAAGAAGACCTACGAGAAGGTGGGAGCACATCAACACGCGCTCGTCCTTGACAGGTCCAGCTGGCACCCAGCCATCAGCAGAGGATGGCACAAAGAAGACGAAACTCCTCACCTTCAAGGAGCGACGTGAAGCCGAGAACGAAAGGTCGATTGGTGGCCTGCGCAACCCCAGAGCTGCTGTTTCACGGAATTCGCACCTTCGCACCGTCGGCATGCGGCTGAGGAAAGTGCTAGATACGGCTCTGACTTCGAGGGCGCTACAAGATTTTCAACAGCGACCCACAGAGTCACCATTTTCCACAGAGGCCATGTCACAGGTCCGAGAAGCTTTGGCCGTAGAGTTCAGCACCACAGCCACGCACAGAGGCTACGAAAAGGGCATTTTAAAGTCCGTGTTGGAGCAGTTGCACGATCTCGATGCCAAGGTCATCCCAAGGTGGCTGAACGAAGGCTTCCCTTTGGGCATCATTCACCCCATTCCCCACACTGGCATCGTCCCCCAAACGGAGGACGTGTCGGATGCCATTCGGATGTCGGCCCTGTGTGGAAGGGTGGTGAAGGATTGGGACGGGGCTGCACTCAACTATGAATCCTTCTACCAAGCGGGAGGGAAAGCTCAACACGAACTTGACCGCATGCTCGCGGAGGGTTGGGCGGAACTCGTACCAACCTGGGCCCAGGTGGTCCAACAGTTCGGTCCAGAGGCGCGGCTGATACCGATCGCATGCATCATCAAACAATCACATGGCAAAGAAAAGGTCAGACCCGTTGTAGACATGAGGCGAAGTTCCGTCAACGGTCTCATGACCGTGAAAGAACGGGTCGTGTTGCCACGTGTCAGTGATGTTGCGAAGAGTGTTCAAGCCCTAGCCTACTCGGATTCGCACTTGTTGGAACTCCTGTGTATCGATTTTAAAGATGCCCTTTACACCATGCCAGCCCACCCAGACGAAAGAGGCTATCTAGTCGTCAAGGACATGCAAGGCAGGTACATCTGCATCAAGGTCTGTGCGTTCGGGCTCGCCAGCGCACCTCTCCTGTGGTGTCGGCTTGCCGCCTGCATCATGCGGCTAGCGCAGGCCACCCATCACGATTGGGAATGTAGGATCTCCTGCTATGTAGACGGCCCGATAGTCGTAGCATGCGGTCAAACCTCGATGGATCGTACGCGTATCATGTTGCGCAGCGTTCGCTTGTGGGCAGCCCTGGGGTTCAAGCTATCCTGGGGCAAGGTCCTAAGAGGATTCGAACTCGATCGGATCGGCGTCAAGCTCGCCGTCCCTCGGGGGCTCCCTCGCACGTTTGAGGTTGAGCTCGCCGAAGACAAGGTCGAGAAGCTCAAGGAGGCGCTTCATGGGCTGTTAGATCAACCCATGATCCCCGTGAAGATCCTCCAACGAACCACAGGTATCCTAGGTTGGCTTTCTAGCATTATCCCGGAAGTGCGCCCGTGGTTAGCCATGTTGTGGGCAGTGTTGACCCAAGCACTGCAACAAGAAGGGCCGAAACGGCAGAAAACCCGTGAGAGAAAGGGGCTTGTGTTCCGAAAGCAGCTGGAACATGCGGCACGTTTCCTCCTGGCCCTCTTGACCAACCTGGCAGGACCATCACTCAAGCACACATATCGGTTGCAGCCACAGGACACGCGCTGGTACACGGGCATGGGAGCTGTGTTGTACTTCATTGGAACACCCCCATGTACTGGGCCGATGCAGTCTCCGACGAGTGTTGAGAGCGGAGAGAACACCGGACTTCCAAACGGAGTTCGAGATGCTCACCATTTTCTTGAGTTTGAAGATGTTTCCTCCGCGCCTCCCGCAACCATTTTCCATTTTTTTTCGTGCAGACAATGCCGCTTCACTTCATGCATGTCTCACCTTTAAGGCCAAGTCCCCACTGTTGACACATTTGACAGCCGAATTTCTCCTGGAGTTCTTATGTCACGGGTGGACACCACCCACTGGCGAACACATCGCGGGGGTGCTGAATGACACGGCCGACGCTCTTAGCCGTGGAGAAGTGCCACCGCACCTCGCACAGGTCAAGCGAATCCCGGCGTTCATTCGCCACGTCAGCATCTTTCGGGCTTGGCCTTACGCGGCGGCCTCATCATGACCTAGTCAGGGACCTCCAGCACACGAAAACAAGCTTTGTGTGTGTGTCTGCTTGCGAGAGAGAGTCTCAAGTAGGCAGCAATTGAGGCAAGCGTAGAAGAGGCAAGCGTAGAAGAGGTAAGGCATAGATGGTGAAGTGGTTAGTCAAGGTCCGATTCACGTTTCGTTGATTTTGAATTTGTCTTTCGTTTTTTGTCTTCGAGTTGAGTCTCGGTGACTTTGGTTTGCCCTCACGCCTCCTTCCCCTCCCACTTGGGATGGTTAAGGGTTCGCTGGGATGTTCAGTTGTCCGTCTTGCGAGCGACTTTACATCTTATTCGTATGGTTTTGCACGCTGACTCGATGGACCTCTGGCTCAGGGTTGACAGATACTTGAGCCCGACCAACCATGGGTTCGATGCTATCCCGTGGTTCTGACCGCGGGAGGGAACTTGGATCCCTCCTTTTGCAGTGAACATCCCCTCCAACTGCATCGCCCTGGTGGCGAATGCGCCTGGAGGCTTGCGAGCAGTGACCTTAGAAGGACAAAGTGGCGAGCGGCTGCTGGAGGCCGCGTTGAGGCATCGGGTTGGTGGGCAGGCCAGCCCAACCACGCCGGAGGAGGCTCTGATCCCGAGGGGGGAGATGGCTTCGGGGTCGGCTGATCCACTGGCCTTGGTCAGCGCAAACCAGCCACAGAGGAGGCGACCTGGCGCCCCAATGTATACTCCGGGCACGGCCCGCACGAAGAGCGCCCTTTTCAAACTGTGGTGCGACATCCTTGCGGCCAGGAATCTGCCCTCTTTGCCGGTAGATCCCGAGAAGCTGAGCATTGTGAGCTCAGTGTTGAGGGCCGCGGGGTTCAAGTCAGCGCCGGCCTACTTGTATGAGGCTAAGGACTGCCACATGCGTGCAGGACACGCCTGGACTGACGCCCTTGACATCGCTCTTCGAGATTCGCCGAGGACTGACCAGAGGTCTGGGTCCGCCCTGTCGCGCCTTGGAGATCGAGCCGTGCTTGTGGTCCCACCAGCCAGAGAACCCAGAGACACAATGTGCATCCTGGCCTGCACTGCGCAAGTACGTGTGGATCCTCGGATCTTGCTTCTGCCTCAGGGAGGTGGAACTGGGTTGCATCATGCTCAACGAGATTGAGCTGGATGAATGGAACTCTTTGGTGACCATCAGCCTCACCGTATCCAAGACGGATCAGTATGCCCGTGGCTGCAAGCGCACCCTTGGCTGCAGGTGCAACGCAAAGGAACCGGTGGTATGTCCGTTTTGTGTGGCAGGCGTGTTGGTGAACCACCAGGAGGTGATGTCAGGCATCGAGCATGGGACGGAGGCCGCAGCCAATTGGCCGCTGATCGGTCAGGAGGGCGACCCATCGAAGCTGGTGCCTAAGGAGTCCATGCTGGCTGCACTCAAGGAGGATGCCATCTACCTCAAGGACCGAGGCTGGCTCAAGGACAACACCGACATGGACCTGGTTTCGGGGCATAGCCTCAGAAGGTCCGGAGTGCTGCAAGCCCAGATCTCCGGGTTGGTCACGAAGGTTGACAACTTGGAAGACCTCGCCAGGAAGATCGCGGAAGAACACAAGAACCAGAAGCAGGTCGCACACTTCGATGAGGATTCGGTGAAATCCCTGCTGCGGGCCTACTTGAAGCCACCGGTGGTGACCAACTTGGCCACGCTGAAGTTCCATGCCACCTCGGTGTCCAACAATCACCTGATCCCAAGTAGGTGGCAGACGGCATGTGGATGGTGCTACGTGGCGGCAGGACAGCTTGTGAAACCAGCTGCCTCATACGAGGAAATCCCGACAGAAGCGACGCCATGTACAAAGTGCATGAACTATCTGCCGTACTGGGCGGCGGTGTAGAGAACTGCACGGATCTAAGGCACGGAAGCAAAAGAGCGTGTAGTTGCGTCCCTCTAGTTTGTGGAGAGTTACAACTGTGAGGTTCACGATACCGAACAGGTTGAGGAAACGATGCAAACTAGACAAGTTCATCTGAGCAGCCAAGTTTGACCAGAAAGTTTGGTCAGCTCAGGTGGAAACGAGGGACACGCTTCGTGACAAAGCCGGGAGCCTAGTTGTCGAACTGTCGAGTCATGGTTGCAAGGCATAAAGGTAATGGAGGCGGGTTTGTAGGGGCTAGCGGACGTTTGTGCGTTTTTTTTGTTGCCTCCGGAACTTGTGCCAGAGTCAAAGAAGCATGTCCATCAGCCTTGTGCCCAGCACCATAAGAGCCTGTACGGTCACCCAGAGTCCTCTGCCCATAAGCCCATCTGTCCAAGATCCTTCGTGAGAAACTTAATGGTGTTGAGTCTTTTACTTTCGTCAGTCTTTTGTTATGTCTGTTTACGATGACGATTTAACATTGTCAGGTGCGGCTTCTGAACATCATGGATTTTGGAAAACCTTCAAGCAATATGTGAACCTTGATCCTCCAACTGAGTTCGGTAGGGTTCTTGGTTGTAATCATCGTCTTGTCTGGTATCAAGGAAAGAAAGCATTGGCCTTGGAGTCTTCGGATTGTGCTAAGCTCTACAAGGACCTTGCGAATAAGCCAATGAAGGCCTACTCCTCTCCTCATTGGGATGATGGAGCTTTGATTCCAGCAGATGATGAAGTTGAAGGCCAGCTCGCGCCTCACGCAGCTAAGCTGATCATGAAGCTCATGTGGCCCTGCCAAATTTGCAGGCCAGACGTGACTTTTGCTGTGACCCCCCTTGCAAAGCGCATAACCATTTGGCCCGCAAATGATGATAAACGTGTAGTAAAATTAATAAACTAGTTGGGTGCGACAAGGGCGTGCCCGACTCGTTGTTGTGGCACTTGAGGTTGGTGGACGGTGGAGTGCCGAAGCGGCAACCTTCATCCGCCTACTAGCTCGCCGCCGGGCCCAATCCGCTCCTCTCCCAGTCCGGGCCTCCGCAAACCATGCGTGGATCTGACTATTGCTTAGCTCTAGCCAGTTGAACTCCTGCCTGCGTCATCAGACGGGAGCGGACCCACGGAGAACTGCAGCAACGCTAAAGCAGCTCCCCATTTGGACAACGGCAACCCTTTGGTAAACACACCAACCTTTTGCTGAGTCGTCTCAACATGCTGGACTGAAATGTCCTGAGCATTGTTCACAGTTTCGGCAGTCGAAGCTACATGCACACGATGTGTCTTGCTCAAATGCCGCAACTTGCGTGAGTAGCCCTTGGAGATGATCGAGATTACCGCGGAGTTGTCTTCGAATATCTTAAAGGCTATGGTTGGTATGAGGGCCTGCCACACATGCAAGCTCGGAAGCGCTTCAGAAAATAGCGCAGTTGAGAGCGAAACAAATTCACTTTCGGTCGTTGATCTTGACACTACACTCTGCCTCTTGCTTCCCCAACTTAGCATAGCGAAGCTTGACGGAACGGTCAAAGCGAGAACAAATCCCGAGGTCGAGCGCATTGTCTTAACATCTCCTGCGAAGTCTGCGTCACAGAAGGGAGAGATGCTTAGCAATTCTGGTGGGTCCTGAATGGACATGACTGGTGCATACCCATGAGACAAATGCAAGTACCCAATTTTTTTTCCGCACGCTATTTTGCCTGCGCGATGAGTCTATGCTTCGGTGTCGCACTCACAGCTGCCGCTGACCAAGTGCCGGGCCACTTGGGTTTGGTGAAACGAAGGGGGGATGTCCAGGGGGGCCCCTCTCAAGGTCGTAGAGGGAGGCGGGAAGGGAGGAAGGGGCTGGTGCCTGGAGCAGGGTCGCTTGGGTGTGTGGCGAAAAGATCTCCTTGGGGGGGGGTGGCATCAACGCTCAATGCCGAAAATCCAGGGAGATGCAAGAGGCTGCTGGTCCCCGCTGTTGGATACGGGCCAGCGTCCTGATGTGCGAAATGGAAGGGCGAAGTCCCCAGGCAAAGTCCCAAAAAAATTGGCCAAGTCCAAACCAGCAGATGGAGATGCAGGGGTTCAGGGACGAAGCGGCAGTCGACTTGGAGCCTGAAGAGTTTCGGGGTGTTCCGCCTGGAGTTGGCCGAGTGGAGGTGTGTCGCCTACCGCGTTGTGGAGGCCAGCGCACGGGAGAGAAAGCAGTGAGCGCACAAACGCCGTCATGGCCACGTGTGAAACCATGGCGGACAGTGCAATGATGGTGCAATGACTTCAACCCTTCGTTCATCCAAACGTTGGACTGCAGAGATGTTCAGGTCTGATAGTATGGTGTGCATGTTCACCCTTGCTCCTGCTTCTCTGGAAATCCTGGCTGCTGTGTGTTTCAGGGCCCCCAACGGCTTGTAAAGGCTCCGGTCCAGGCGCATGCTGCGAGGTGGTCGCCAAGTTGGTCGACATGGCGACGGCGCCTGCAGGAGTGCTCGGAGGACGGAACAGCTGAAGACGGAAAAGGTGAAAAGGATATGTGACCTCACCAGCGTAAGGGGATGGTTGTGAAAAATTTGCTTGCGAATGGCCCGGGTTGAGATTCCAACATGGCTTGGGCTGGCGGGTCGAGGGCTTGAAACAGTTCTGCGCGGGCATTGGCGTGGTAGGGTGCAGTGGATGTTGCTGCCATCCTCGCTGCTACGCCGGGCCGTGGGACTTGGACGTCAGGGACCTCAGGGACGTCGAGGGCGTCGAGGACGTGGGGGACGTCGAGGACGTCAGGGATGTGGACGACGGAGGGACGTGGACGTCAGAGACATCAGTGCAAGTGGACAAACCTAGCTGTGATCTTACACACACCGGGAACAAAACAAAAACGCGTGAACGCACTGTCGAAGGCTTCATTTTCGCCTAGTCTGCCTGCTCTTGTTCGCCCACCCTCCTCACCCATTCTTTCTGCAAAACTTCGCACCGCTGGCGAACTGAGATTTGAAGTCGCTTGGCATTTTGCTCAAGAATTTCGGAAAATCGGCTTGGCTTTCGATGTTCCCGCAGCTTCCAGCTTTGCCAATCGGATAGGGGGCTAAGGCGGACGTACCGACGTATATCGGGGACGTCCATGTGTAGGTCATCTGAATTTACACAATGGACTTGTCACAGTATGTTCTGGGCAGACTTGGCCAAGACTTGGCAAGAATCAGTTTATAGAAAGCACAGCGCGAAGCTACAGGGCAAGATTCCACAATGAATCTGGTTTTTCAGAAACTGCAGGGACAAAATTTCCCTGGTGGGAAAGCTTTAGCGAACTGATGCTAAGAGACGAGAATCGAGAATCCTGAACCGAGATCAGAGACAAGTCCTTTGTGACTAGGTTTGGCTAACTCATGTGTCCCCATTTATTCCAAAAACAGATTCCTTGTCACCTTTTATGGTAAGCCATCATTTTCTACAGCAATGTGCGGATTGTCCAAACAGGACGCTCATGACCTGATGTCAATGTAGTCATTTTACAAAGGGTTTGTTTTGTAATTTGATAGTTCTTTATCCGGTGCATGTCGTTTTACAGTGACGTCCTTAAAATAATGATTGAACCACAGGCCCTTTGATTAAGTATGGTAAGTAAGGGGGTTGCAGGTCATCAAGGTGGGGGAGTCGTTCAAGCAGGGGGGTTTGCTTTGCAAGATGGTGCAGGAGCTCGCCTTGTACATATTCGCTGGTTTCCTGGCCAGGTGCGTGGCCCGAGGTGGAGAGGTTGCTGGCCGGATTTATTCAACACTCTGGTTTTGCCACTGTTGAAGCGGATGGTGGCATGGGTTTGGAGGTGGCGAGCTAGCAAGTCATACACGGGTCTGACCCGGTGGGGTTGCAGGATTGCATACACGTCGCATACGGACTCTCCCCTGGTTCAAGCTCGGCCTGCACGCGCTTGCAGTGCGGCATGTTGGCCGAGTGAATATAATGCGGGCATTGAAAGGTCCCCTTGTTTTCCTCCGTGTGCCTGGGTGATGGTGTGTGGTTAGCCTTCCGCGTCATGCCACACATATTGGGAGGGTTGGGCATGAGGAACCCGTGGAGCATGCGTCTTCTGGAGATAGTATCGCGTGGCCCGACGTGGGCTCGTGGGACCCGTCTGTCGTGTTTGGTCTGCCAAAGCCGCCGTGTGCCAAAGCCGCAGTGGCGGCCAAGCGCTCCCCAAGAAGCTTCTGGATTGCAGCAGCGCTTCTTGGGTTGTTGCTGGGATGTAGTAGCCCTAGTCAGTCATGGCAAGTGCACACTGGCATTGTGCGGGAGTTGGGTTCAGCTGCTGCTAGCTGTGTTGCCAGGGTGATTTCATTGTGCGACAGGGGAGTGCCGGTGTCAACCGCCAGTTGTTGCAAGGTCATGCTTGAGGAGATCCCAATGGTTAAAGGCTCTGGGATGGTGGAACCATTCTTCTTCAATGTCAGCCCGCAAATGCCCCGCATCGGCGTGGTGGAGCCCGGCGCTTCCGTGGGCAGGTCGAAAGTGACCGTGGTGCTCCTGTGCTTGGTGTTGCCACCATGGATGGTGCTGCTGTTGTTGGCGCCGTTGTGGAGGCTGCTGTTCTGGATGATGGCACTGCTGCTGGTGCTGCTGTTGGGACTGCTCATGTTGTGAGCATTGCTGACTGTGCCGGAGCTGGCTCGGCCGAGCGGTTTGGCGCAACGTGCTCATTGGGGGGGGTGACCCCTTCGCAGCACACCTCGGGCTACATCTATCACAAATGTGCGAGGTCCGTGGTCTGGGCAGCTTGGTTGCGCATGCATGTGTTGCAACAACCGATGGTCTGATGACAAGGTGGAGCTGCACCTAGGGCATTCTGGTCGTGGCGCATGGCTGGTGCCCAATGCATGTGGCGGTCTGGAAATTCGTGCTGCGCGAAGTCAGTCGCGAAGTCTTGGTGCGCAGCGCAGTGGGACAATATCAATGGGCGCGGGCGGGGGCTGGAACCGTCGTGGGCTGTGGGCTGCCCGGATCTGGGATCATGA